TTAACAATTTTGTGATGGTAATCGATATTAATATTATTTTATTAATAACGAAAATAATACAAATTCTTGGATGTCATTTAGATAGTCGCTATCAAATTCGTAATACAACATACCTAACACAACTAGAAATATGAGACCATCTATAATTTTACTCATGAGAGAAGAATCACAACTAGCCAGGTGTTATTTGCATCAGAGACAGCCAACTTTAATTATTCATTTATGAATCATCTATTTTATGTGGTATTGACGCACTAGCCTAGCCATAAAAAAATAAATTATGAATTATTAGTTCATTCGTCTATAGACAGAAAATTCTTTCAATAGATTTTGGCTAAATTAGATCTGCTTTGACCTAGTTAGACACACTAAAAACTTATCATAGTAAGAATGTTTTATTTTTAAATATTCTCTTATACCTTTATAACTTTCTCTTTAAATTCTCGTTATTTGAGATTGACAATTCAAGCGGAAATGGTGTTGTTTAATTTAACAAAACTCACTACAGTTAATATCTTTTCTACTTAGCTTTTAGGTAGTTATTATAGATGTTATTATAGATGAGACTATTTATGTAAAGCATTATTTGTCTAGACATAGACAATTTTTCATAATAAAAAAGTCTGTAATACAGACTGCTGTTTTAGTTTTACTGTCTTTCTAAATTGATCATATAATAAATAACTACCTATCTACTATTAAGTACTTTGTGCCAAGTTTCGCTATAATACTAAAACCTGTTATAGACTGTTCCCGCCAGAAAATACTTTTTTTTTTAGTTTTTAAGTACTTATTCCACAGAAACTTAACAGTAAAATAAATGTATTTTTTTTTATTCAACTTAGAACAACAGACGAGTTGATGGCTCACCCGAAGTGTTAACTGTCGCCTATAAACATAAACAGCTCCATAGAAATCACAGAATACTCTCTGACGCCCATGGTATGGTATTAAGCGTCTGTATCCTGTAATGTTACCACATTCCATCTATAAAATAAATATATTATCATATCTCTCCACTGCACATGGGCCTTTCCAATTCCTTCCATCATATGCGATCCGCAGTTTTCGCTTCCACCCACTTCACAAATAAACAAATAAAATTAAAGTAAATTAGTTTATTCAAGTGTTACCTTCTGCCAAGAAATCAAACTCTACGTATGTGAGACGAATTACGCATAGTGGCGAAATTTAGGTCTATCTTAGACTGCGGGGTCACCACTTGACAACCTTTTCGCTGTGTTTTATACCTATATTCTTACGCAGAGAACTATTTTTCTATTAATTTAATAGAATGTCATTTTTTACATTTTCATGTATAATTTTGAAGTATTTTTTTCCAAAGTCAATACACCATAATTACCTTACCTATCTTACAAGTTATAATATAACTTTATTAATACCACACGATACTTTCCATGTCTAACCATCGTTGAAATATATCCATTAACCCTTAATTAGTTGGGTTTTATTTTATCCGCGCAAATGAGTAAAGGTAATTATCGTAGTTTATGTAATTTTATGCATTAATATATAATTATAAACATAAATAATGAACATACATATATAGCATATTGTTTTATCAATGAACTTTGTGTAACTTTTTATAACACTAAATAAAAAAAATGCATTTTCAAATGTATTTGGAAATTTTTGAACAGTCGATATATCAGATTCACTTTGAAACGTTTGGCAGACTGTATCATAAATTAAAACTTATATAATAAAATGTAAATAGCGTTTAAGGTTTAACTTGACTCATACGTAATTATTTTACTCAATTAAACCGAATTAATTGAATTTAAATAAAGTGCTAGTCTATCTACCTATCTACTAATTATTTTTTAAGAGATATCACTGTATTATCTGTTTAAACCTGTACGTATTTTTTTAAACTGACTGTACAAGCAGTGAAACTGATTTTATCTTCATAATAATGGTATAGATATTTATAGATGTAGATACGTCTCATAACCGTATACAACAACTCTAACACAGATGGAACGAGGAATTTCGGGACGCTTCTATTATTATGGTAATGTAGTAAAACTGCTGAGGTCGTTCGTTCTCATTAGGTACTTACATAGAGGGTGGACGGACCCATGGAACCATAACTCGAGACAGGAACACGTAGAGTAACATGTTCTTTGAGAACATGTTAGAAATGTAAGCTTAATGTAATGTCATTAAGCAGTGATGCGCCCAGATGGCGTCTTTTTGTATTCGATTATTTTGGTACTTGATAAAAAAAACGAAACCTGACTCAAGTCTAAGGACTAGGGCAAGTACCTCTACTCGAGTACTTGAGTATTCGAATATTTCGTTATATAAATTCGAGCAATTTTTCAATAAATTTATAAAGCTGACTTTTAACGAATGTTTTTTCATTCAATCGATTAATAAACTGTACTCTGATAAAGAAGAGATAAATTAATACAATGATGAAACAAAAAGTATAGGTAAGTATATGTACCTACAACTTTAAAGTACCTGTTCAGGTACCATAAATATTCTAAACCTATACTCGAATATCATATAACCGAATTCTGTATACCCACTACCCATTTGAGTACTCAACAGGTTTACAAAACTCGAATACAGATATTCACCTGAGTACGTAGGTACTAGGTATTCGAATCAGTCCTCGAGTCAGTCTCACACGGCATATCACTTTAACCGACTTCGTATTTTGGTGTTGTACTCAGAAAGAAAGAATGCAATACTTACAAGATTACTTAGGTGTATATCTTACTCTTAATGGGTGATACTAGTATAATAATCCCGCCTGCACTAACGGTGTATGCTGGCGAGGCACCAGTGAGGGATGATAGGTGAAGATGAGATGAGAGCAGCCCAGTTGGTTCATCGTGACAAATCGTGACTGTAAATTAAATATGATGGTTTCCAGGGGGAACGCGAGGAGATCGAACTGACAGGGCATAATCGATATGGTTACAAGTTCCCATTACTAACAAACCTTCCCTTCCTAGATGTATGTCTGTCATAAGTAAGTACTTATTTTAGAGGTCTGTTGATATGTATGTACCAACTTATAAATTATGGTACGAACTACTTATTAATAAGGAAATTATTTACTTTACCCGGGCAGTATGAAATAAACTTTCGTGTATAAATAAATAATTTATTATTTAACTTTACTATTTTTCAAAATTAAATAGATATAATTTATCTATAAATTCTCATGTACAATACATTGCTCAAACTTGCACCCTATAATTATGTATATTTTTTATTACCGTTCTGCTCGTCCTGATTGCCCCTGAAGTAATACTGACAACCTTGAACCTGCGGATTAGCTTTAGTTCCTACATTAGGCCATTAAACCTGTCTTGTACTTATATAAGACGGATGTCTACAAGATAGACTCTGTGATAACATGGTGATAACCTTACCCGTCGAGGTCATGTAAAACTCTACCGCCATTCTGTAACTCTGTCTACACATTCGAGACTAGTTTTTTACGAAGTCGCTGACTACGTACGCGTGACCTAATAAAAAACAGTCCTTCTCCATCCTTAATATTACATATTATTATTAATATGTAATATTAAGGATGTTAATATATTTTTTTTTTATAATTGGTTGATGCGCCATTAATGCGCCAAAAGATAACAAATGAACAAACTAAATTTACATTTATAATATTAGTATTTGCCTCTTTAACAATAAGTACCTAGGTGTCTAAAGAGCTAGATATCTACCTACATCTGAGTAGGTACTTATAGAAGGAACAAGTTTATTAAATAAATTTTATCATACTTATGTTGTTGTAACTACGCGTATGTACTCGTATTGTAGGCGGACACTATACAGTATGGAAAGAGTGGGTAGTAATCTATGTACTTGTAACTAGTCATATCATTTGTCCATTTCTACGTTGTATCGTATTTATACCATATATTCATATCTTTAGTCTATTTCAATAGAACTTAATGAAGAGGTAACTAAGTAAATTCGCCACATTTAATTAGTAACAAATCGAAACATTCAAACAATTAATCAATTTTCGATTCGTAATTAGACTCTCTTATAACTGGGTTAATTATGTTTTTGTTTACATTTTGATTAAGATTTATTGAAATAAACTACATAATAGTAGGTACTTCATGAATTTATTTTGCAGTCTTTATGTTATAAATATTTACATTTATGTAAGTACGACCTATCTACTACTTTCATGTCATACATTACAATTTTATAGTATACCTATAACCTATTAACAACGAGATAATCAAGAATTAACATCTCAGTAACATTTCTGAGGAATACTTTAAGATCACTGTCGGCTATCGACAGTTCTTTGAAATAAGTAGCTTTGGAAAGTTCTGATCACATTTTTATGCAAATAAGGAGCAATACCAAGCCATCAATGACCCTTTCGAATTCTCAAAGAGATTGTTTCCATACAGTCGTCGGGTGTCTGTTGTTATGATAATTTGTGAAAGTTTCACAGAGCACTTTAGTTACGCTCGTATGGGTGATTCTTGGCATGTTTGATATACAAGGTTTATAGATGTTCATATATACTTACAACAAAATGTTTTTCTTCTCCTACAAGATCATAATTGTCTATAGCTAATGTAGGTTGTATTAACAACAAGACATACTTAATATAACCTAAAAATTTATAAATAACTTAGTTCCATAAATTTTAACTACAATCTTAAAAATAACTATTTAGAGATAAGTTTTATGTACAACCTCTGTGACCTGCAACAATGACATAATGAGATACAATGACACAGTGCCTTTGAAAAACTAAACAAACCGCATGCATTTATTTACAGCATAGCTAAGATGTTATACACAAACCGGTTGCCAACAGCGAAACATAGACGAGAGCGGCACTCAGTATGGGTAAGACGAGTTTAGTGTTTCGACGTATCTGATGCCAATGCATATAAATTGATAGTTGTACACGCTGTGAACTTGAACATACCTAGTATAAGTATGTAAATGAATAGGTAGATTGTACTCACGTGCGGAGCCAAACGGACGTCGCGGTGCATAGCAACAAGTCGCGGCCGCATCGCGCCTAAATCGCGTGTTTGGACTTAATCGCATCAACACACTGCACGGTGCACCCGTTCACAAATGTCCTTCCGTCTTGACACTATCACTCGCGTATCTACGCTCGCGAATGCGGACTGATTTTTTTTTTCTCGCGTAACGGCCCATTAAACTTGTAGATTTCTATCTCACTCACTGCCACGATAGCATTAAGAAGCGAGACAAAGAAAGGTTGTGGTTTATGGGTTGTTGATAGAATTGGTATCCGCTACGTAACGTACCGCCGCCGTGTTGCATATTTTTATATGACATGGCCTTGCATTGACGTGCAAAATAAAACTACTTACTTTCTATTAATATATATATTTTAAGTTTCTTCCTTTTTATAATGTAACGCTTTAGACATATATTTGCGGATATTATTTCAAAATCATTGAATTATCATTTTATAATTAAATAATTTAAGCTTAGATAGTCTATGCAATATTATTATAATAATAATATATAATGCTATAATAATAATATGTAATATGTTATTTCACTACATTTACCGAATGCCAAAACGAAAGATAAATGTGTAAATATGTAGGTACATAAATTCTTATTGATTTTTTACTTAAACTATGACCATCTACCTAACCTTACATAATTTTTTTCCTCCAATTTGAACCCTTAAGAGGTAATTTTATAAAAATAGGATGCAACATGTGTTATGACACATACTTTATCACATGTCATACATGTGTATTATAGAGTCTAAAAAGATATAAAATTTCTAGTCTGTTTGTTTATTATCTATTTGTTATGTTTGAAAATACCACTCACTCTTTCGCTTCCTCCAACAAAAAATTTATATATTTTATTAATATTTATTATAACTTATTATTATTTTCTAAAATATGTATATCTCAGTTTTAGATAAAAAAAAAAAAACTGTGTACAAACTCAATATTAATAAAAAAATAGCAAACTTCCCGTATAAAATTTCATTCCCTTTTTATTATAATTTTTTTGATTAAAATATTTTTAAAACCCTTTTTAATATTTAAATACGTGTCTATATTATATTAAAATACTTATATATTTAAAATTTTTAAGTTTGAAATTAACGTATTTACTAACCCATTTTTCTCTTTTTGCAACTGTTTTATCAAGGAAGTTATAAAAATATCTTTTCTATTTAGTATTTTTGTCTTAATATATTCAATAGCAGTTAATCACTCAGTTAGTTAGATGATAAGTCAATTACATAATTTTAAGCCAATTTTAATTTCCATTTTTTTTTTTAATTAATTTTATAAATATACATAACATACATCAGTACAAAGAATAATAATAATAAACTCTTTATTGCACACAATACAGATATATACAAGGAGTATTTATACAGAATATCTATATACAAAAGGCGGCCTTATCGCTAAAAACAATCTCTTACAGATAACTTGGCATAAATAAGGAAAAAGTACAGAGAGAAAGGTAGATGGCGCAAGTCAGACACAGTAAATACAAAAAAGGAATTAAATAAAATGCAAAATATTCTAAATATAATTTATATAAAAATAAGATTACAATACATTAAATTACATATATAATATATATAATAATACATAAATAGATCAAGGTAAATCACACGTAAATACTACTACTACTACTACTGGTAAGAATACTGGTAAATTGACAAACTTGTCGTCTTTGTAGTCGCTTAAAACCTCAAAAAAGGTCGTCACCTGAACAAGGTCACACCGTGCAGAATTATAATGCCAAAAGATGTTTAGGAAATACCTATAGGCGTCGCCCAGAGCGCAGCCGTACATCTTGCTTTATATCGGCCCCGCCAGCATTGGAGAGCAGAACATCAAACGACGTTATTGCCCCCGGACGTGCCGACCGCTCTCGCCAGACAGGGATGGGGATAGAAAATAAAAGAGACGGGGGATTTTTGCACGTCCAATTCTTTTATTATTCTACACAACAAACATTGGGTCGGAATATAATATGCGCAAGTAACGACAAAGTTTGGCAACTTCAGATGTGAGGGGCAGGATTGCATAGTCTGTCTATACATAAGCGTATGCTTTTAGCGTATACCATTCCTTAGTTACAAGTACAGAAATTATTGCCGTAGTAATTAAATTCTAATTCTTTACTATTATTATAATATATATCAGAAAACAATTTTTCTTTTTAATACAATACTAAGTAGAGGCTTAGTTTAGGTTTCAGAGATTTTCACAAATTACGAACGCAGAAAAAAAATATTTAAATGGGTTTTACAAATATGTAATAGAATATGTTATTATAGAGTAATAATATTGTATATACTTTTATGAGTAACCTCCTTTTTCACCAAAATACATGTTTATATAATTATTTTCTAAACTTGTTTAAATCTTCATACTTTTATTCAATACTATTTTTCAATCGTTTTATATTCAATACTATTTGTTTACTAAGATTAAAAAAAAAAGATATGACGAATAAAGTCTATATTTTTGATACCTAAATATGTTGTCATATTACAAGTAAACAAAGGACATATCTTAGATAGAGATTATTATTTCTCGTAATAGTATTCAAAATACAGTAAGAAATAATTAAATGAAATGTGTTCATTTACATATTCGTCTTACAATTTCAGTACAAAATAAAAATGTTATTCTTCTTTGCGAGACGATGGCAAATTGGCAAACATGATATTAAAATATAAAATCATATTCTAATAGTTATTTTGCGTTTTTCCCCACAATGTAATTAATAAATTCCAAGTGTCTAAAATACAAATATTAATATCTAGAGTTTATTTTATTTATTTAATTTCGCAGTAATTCAAAGGATAAATAATAGTGATTCTTACCAAAAAGTGATGGGATCAATATTTATTTTTGCATGTTCCATTGACCTATATCTCTTCATCACGCCACTGAAGTAAAAATATACCTCTCAGGTACTAGATAAATACATAAAAAAAAATTACTTACTCACACACATACATCTACTTATCAAAATTGAATCCCTCAAATACACATACGTATTATAAGCGAGAGCTCAGGCATTTTATTTACATTCGCGCAAATTGAATCTTTGGTTCGGCGCCAAGAGGAAGCGCGTTCACATATTCATCCCGGCCCAAAGGGGGCGAGGGGGGACAAGATTCGATTTGCATAATAGCAGGCGTGAGCCCGGCTCGGGGGCGCACTCAATTACGCAGAGTGAGCCGAGGTGTCTCGTAACACTCAGTACATAATTACATTATCTGGTAAACGGTTAGAGAGGTTAGAGTCACATGTAACGTGAAAAAATTCCAGAGAGCTTTGGAAAGATGGCGTCATGAAAATAAAAATGTAAAGCCGGTAGAAAGTATATTTTCTGTACTGAAATTCAAAATCATATCGGGTATTATCGTCATCATATTAATCGTTAATTTTCCACTGCTGAACATAGGCCTCTCACATAAAAAGGATTTTGCCAGTAGTCGCCACGCTTGTCAGTCGGGTCGGCAATTCCATTAAAGCTTTGGTGATGTTTTAAGAGGAATGCTGCTGCCCATCCCTCAACCATTAAGTTCCTTAATCGCCTCTTGCAACACCCACGGGAAAGGAAGTAGTGGTCCATTCTATGCCGGACCCCACGTCATATTGAGTATACAAAAAAAAATAAACGATAAACCGTAACTATTGTTTTGTCCTTTAGCAATATAAATTACTTAAATATAAATTATTATAATTAATATAAATTATTCAAATATGCAATTACTTGAGGCTGTATAAGTACTTACGATATAACATTGGAGTCGATTCTGAGGCATCATTCTGTAAATCTATCTCTAAAATAATTATTTCGATTTAATATTACAGCCAATTTTTTAGAAATATTTAGAAATTATTAGGACCAATACGAACTCAATCTCTAATAGATTTATGTCAAAATTGTTTTAAAAGTAGTTTATGGTGGGCCATAAACTAATTACTTTTACAAAACTATCAAATTAAAATATTAGTCTTATTAGTCTTTTGTAGAGTAAAAAAGCAATATAATCAGGTAAAATTTAAAATCAAATTTGCTAAGAATATTTTTAAATACACTGAAATAGAAATATTTATCTTAGTCATAATAACATATTCGTCTCTGTAAGCTTCAATATATTCCATCTTCTATTCTGGTTTTGATAAAAGAGAACTTATGTGAAGTTAAATTATCTTGTATAGAAATTAATGTATGGAGTGAACATACATACATCTGTTTCTGCAATACCATATCGTTGGTTTTGAAGGAAAATCAATAATTCAATTTTTGTAGTTTACTCGCGCTTTACTATTTTTCTTTTAATCGTTTGTATAAAGAAATTAAATGATTTTTTATATGTTTTAATAATAGTTATTGTAATGAATCATTAAAAGATAATTGTTTTGCAAAACAACTATTATTAATTACTATGAAAAACAAAAGAAAAATAAATAAATCACAAATGTCTCAAAAATAGAAAAATCGAATTATTTGGTTTCCATTTGCACTGACTACATTTTATTTTTATGTTAAGGCAAAACGGATTGTGTTATCTGCCATAATATTGTTGGTGAATTCACTACCTATAAACTAAATTATTATTACGTAATCATAAGAATCTTTGCTTTCATTTTGAGTTTACAACTTTTGTGTAAAAAAATACAAGAATTCCATACATTTCCATAATTGGAAGGATAAGTAGACCATAAAAATAAAAAATCCCAATTCGAAGACGCCACTGGTAACGTTGGCATTTGCTTTTATGATTGTTAAAATGTGCATTATTTATTTTATTTCACTAACGATTGTGATCGGTTTATGTATGCATGTGTATGTTGATCTGGTTTTATTCGCATTACAGCTTTTTTTTATTGTATTACTTTTTTGTCATAATGTCTAACTGTAAAAAAATGGACGTTGCAATTTTATTATACCTAGTTATATATTATCTGGTTGATTTTCAAATATTTAGTTACCTTTTCTTTTTCTTTAGTAACTATTAAAGTATATTTCAAACAAGAATTTTTTATTAACATTTCTATAGTTCCATCATAATTACATCAGCCATTACCTGTCCTCTGTTGAACA